GTCAGTGTGCCTGTACCTGTCAGTGTGCCTGTACCTGTCAGTGTGCCTGTGCCTGTCAGTCAGTGTGCCTGTACCTGTCAGTGTGCTTGTATGTACCTGTCAGTCAGTGTGCCTGTACCTGTTTGTCAGTGTTCCTGTACCTGTCAGTCAGTGTGCCTGTACCTGTCAGTGTGCTTGTATGTACCTGTCTCCTCTCTCTCTACAGTGGGCTGGTGGGACAGGAGGCCTGGCTGCTGCTCCCACTGCAGTGCGTGAAGCTGTAGGCGCAGACGGACACCTGGGTGGACAGGACCAGCGAGCCGGGGGGCCGGAGGGGGGCGTGGGGAGTGTTCCTCCTCTGGCCTTGGCTCGACCTCGCGCCCCCCCCGGAGCCCCCCCACGGGCCTCCCTCCTCGTCCTCCACCAGCAGCCCCTCCAGGACGGCGGCCAGAGACTGCCGGATGCGGTGGCAGAAGTCGGGGCAGCTGAAGACGTAGAGGACGGGGTTCAGCACGCAGTTGAGGAAGGAGAAGGTGGTGGCCACGGGCAGCCCGATCTCCACCTTGGGCCGCAGCGCCGGGTACCGGTGCGCCATCACCTCCAGCAGGCACATGGCGTGGTAGGGCGCCCAGCAGCAGAGGAAGACCACGATGACGGCCACCACCAGCTTGAAGAAGCGCGCGGACAAGCGGGCGGGGCCCTTGCGGCGCTCGCGCTGGCGCAGCCGGACGCTCACCAGCGCGTAGCTCCCGCCGATGACGCAGAACGGGATCAGGAACGCCAGCAGGAACTTGGACAGGGCGGTGGCGTCCTGGCGCAGCCGGCAGGTCCGCTCCAGGGGCCCCGGCGCCGCGTGCAGGGCGAAGTTGTGGTAGCACAGCCGGCGCCCGTCCTGCCGCGGGATCACGGCGCGGAAGACGGAGTACGGCACGCTGTTGAGCACCGCCGCGGCCCACACCGCCGCGCACACCTTCCAGGCGGCTGACACGGACCGGTGGTTCTGGCACCACACGGGCCGCAGCACCAGCAGGCAGCGGTCCAGGCTGATGGAGGCCAGCAGGAAGCCGCTGACGAACATGTTGACGAAGAAGATGGTGGACTGGATCTGGCACAGGCGCTGGCCCAGGTCCCAGCTGTGCGCGGACGCCAGGTAGTGGGTGAACAGTGGCAGGGTGAGGGTGGCCAGGAAGTCGGACAGCGCCAGGTTCAGCACCCACACGGCGATCACGGTGCGCCGGATCCGGAAGCCCACCACCCACAGGATGAGGGCGTTCTCCAGGATGCCCACGGCGGACACCAGCCCGTGCACCGCCACCACCGGCAGGTTGACCCGCGTGTCGTTGTTGCGGGAGTGGTTCAGCATCTCCCGGATCAGGGGGCAGAACTCCGACAGGTTGAAGGAGGACAGCTGAGACATGGCAGCAGGAGAGCTGAGGAGAGACAGACAGGGAGAGGGAGAGAGAGGGGTTAATACAGCTCAGAGAGAGAGGGGTTAATACAGCACAGACAGAGGGGTTAATACAGC